CGGCTCCTGGCAATCCTTATCAAGGTTATTCCCTCACCAATGTCGACATGTCAAGTTTCCAAGGTGTCGATTGGAGCTCCATGTACGGCATGGGCATGTACGTCTAAACTACTCTCTCGCTCTTCCTATCTTTTCTCCTCTCTCTTTCTCTCTCTCTCTCTTTATCTCTCTCTTACCTTTGCATTTCCTTCCTTCCTCCCTCCCTGTCTCCCTCCCTGTCTCCCTCTTCTCGATCATCATCAATCTGTCTGTCCGGCGAAAAATCGGACGAGAAAATTTACAAGTGCCTGCTGCTTATCTCTCTGGAGTCTACGACGTCGACAACAATATCTTTCGGGGAAACGGGGGGGAGGGGAGGGGCAACATCGAACGCACGCACCATGAAAAATAGATCAAAAGTTCAAACCGATAAAGACTGGAATACGGGTATGTACCGCAGGATGACTGATCTCGTCGAATTAGAGAGATATTCGTAGCCACGAATTCGAATTAGAGTGCGCAAGTAGGGTTGCGTTAGAGAGTCGCGCGATATTGTTCAAATGTATCTCTAGTTAAGGACGAGCTCTCGTCGAGGAGAACAAACAAACAAACAAACAAACAAAAAACAAACCACGCGATGCTTCCAAGTTATTATTTTTTTATTTCGTTGTTTATTTTCATATATATCATCCCTATCGTTATTTTAGTCGTTGCGGTTTGCTGCGGTCTTCTACCGCTCCCCGATCGTATAAGTATCACGATTAATTATCAATTAAAAAATTCGCGTCACCGGATCAATCTTTTTTTCCCGACGCGTCCTGGAAGCAATAAAGTATATAACGGGTATGGTAGGATCGACGCCTGCAACGTTTTCCAAAAGGGGTCTCTATTTGTTTCAACAATTTTCAACGTTTTTCTTTTTCATCTATTCAATTTGTTTTTTATTTTCGCGTTGCGTATCCAGGAAGAAACTTGCTCGTGCCTTTTCCCGAGAATTGTTCTATTCCAACCTGCTGCATAGGATCGATCTTTTTTTTTTTCGATGCACCAACTTCTCGGGAAAACGCAAAGCAAAGGGGCAAACTCTACTACACTTTCCGTAAAAATAAATAAAGTAAATAAAATAATAAAAAAAAAAAAAAGAAGACACGTATCTATACACGGAGGACGCGAGAGATATTTGCATGTGTGTATGTACGCGAATACTCTAGATAACACAAGGCACACACATTGAAATACTTGCATATAATATATATGATATTAACATATGTAAGGATTAACATATGATGTAAGAGTACAGACAAATACGTCTAGATATATGATGTATAGTGTAATACTGATATATATTTTTCTTCGAGTAACGGAAGACAATATTTCTCCGATCTTCGTCGAGCGTAAACATATTATTAATATTAAAATAATAACTTTTTAGACGACGCGTTCGCAAGATTATTAAAGGTTGCATTTGGACAACACATATAAAGAAAATGGAACGCGCAATGAGACTAAAAACTCACATAGATAATAATTTAAGAAGACATTTGGACATCTCTTTTTGAAAGACTCGCGCCATTTTTCGCGTAATAAAAAAAAATTACCGCGAGCGCGTAATTGGTCGAAAACGACTACGACGACAGGGAGGAGGAGGAGGAAGAGGAGGAGGAGGATGAAAACGATGACGAAAATTCTTTTTTGAAAGGCGGGGTTGTAATAATAGAACGACTGCGTTTTCCTTCTATTTGCGAATTCGGTGAGTCTACTTAAACTCAATAATTAATAAATGGTGATAAAATGATTAAGAGTTTTGACGAATAATAATAATAATAATAAGGCAAAATAATTAGCCTGTGTGCACGCGCGCGCGCGCTCTTTTCGCGCTGAAAAATAATCTAAGATATAAAATAATAATTATCATTAAATATATTATATATATATATATATATAAAAATTAAGAGAGAAGAGAACAAAAAAAACAGAGATACTCGTTCATAGGTTAACGTTTTAACCGGTATGTTTATATAAGTGTATACACGTATGTGCGTGCGTACTGGAGACGTGCGTGGATGAGAAGGGGTGGGTGGTGCCATTGTTGGGGTGTGCTACCTCTCTCTGTTCAATATGCAAAGTACAAATGTACGTGCGTGTATGCTCGTATATATGCGTATATGTATATTATATATACATAAAATATTCTATAATAATGTGTAAGTCGCGTTCTTCATTCGTGCGTTGGCAAACGAAACGAAAAGAAAAAAAAAAAAGAAGAGATTCAAATCCAAGATTGAGATTAGCAGCTAGCTGGTGAGGCGTGTGTTTGATCGACCGAGTCTAATTAAATTAATTTCTATTTATAATATTAAGCGCAGGAATATAAAAAAAAAAGAAAAAAAAAAAGAAAAAAACAAAAAACATTTTAGTCAATAAGAAGCGATAATTAATTTATATACTTAAACAATTCGCGCGTTACAACACTCGTCTCCGAGTTTCTTCGAAGTCCGAAACACTTTTGACTCTAATTAGAAATATTTTTAGAATCCAAATACCCCTCGGTCTGTCTACAAGGGAAATTACATATTTTTTTTTTTTTTTTAGCCCTAAAGATTTGTCCCCACCGCGTAGATTAAGCGATTCGATTGAGAATGATCTTATTATTTATTATTAATTATAATTAAGGTTAATTTAGAAGTATTATTTGACAGATCTTTTTAACCACCACTACCCCTTGGGCAATTTGTTCCTTTTTTTTTCTTTCTTAATCTTTTCCAATATTTTGTTCCTTTTTTTCATATCATTTCGTAGATTTAGTTGGCGAGATAGACCGAGGGGGACACGCGAGGGATGCGAGAGAAAGAAAAATTGGGTGAGGAATAAAAAAAAAAGTGACAAGCGAAATATCATCCAAAGTAGGAGGGTATATATACGTTTGAAGAAACAAATAATGCAGCGTTTATTATTATTATTATTTTTCTAATAAATATATCGGATATCGATAATCTCGGAAGGACGTTGTGGTCTCGTCGCGCGAAAATGGACGAAGAAGGATGTGAGAAATTTCGAGCAATAAGCGATAAAACAACCTTATTAAAAAGCATCTACAATATTACCACTTTATCAATATGTACCTATAATAATATTAATAATAATATAATATTAACAATAATAATAATAATAATAATAATTAATAACGATAAGCGAGCGTTTGCGTAGGTCGTAAGTCTGACGAGGATGATGGAAATAAAATCTAAGAGATACGAAAAACTTAATACTTAAGAGGACGCTGAGAAAGAAAAGAAAGAAAAGAAAAGAAAAAGGTTCAGGGGGTGGGAGTGGGCTTTTGAGGGAGAAGGTGGAAAATGAAATAAACGAGAAAGGGAAAAAAAAGAAAAGCGTGAGAGAAAGGGCATACGTTAGGGGTGAAAGAAAATAAGGAACGAGGTGGGAAGGGTTTATCATCCCTTCCGAACGACAAGTAATATTCTCTAGTGATATACACTTATACATATATTATTATATATGTATATATAATAATAATAATAATAATAATAATAATAATAATATTATATACAATATTACTATATGACGATAATCATACCGTATTATTAGCGATGAGAATACTTGCGAACGATGTTTTAGGTTTGTAAGAAGGGATTAAACGAAATGGAACAGGAAGGGATGAAACTTGACGATTCAATTAATTGATTAACAAACGTGGATTTGCGTGTGCGTGTGAGATAATGTTAACGAAAAAAAAAAAAGGATGATTACTTACAATTAGTAATATTTGACAAAGAGAGATGAACGAGATACCAGGCCTGAATTTTTACTTCTTCTAATCGAAAAAAAAAAAACAAAAAAAAAGAAACAAATTTATAATTTTTTTTATTTTGTTCGATTCGATGATAATAAGCGGAGCCAGGGTATCGCAAACGCGTCTTCTTCCCTCTCCTCCTATTTTTTTTGCTCCCATTTGACAAACGGAATTTTTTTTTTTTGCTCCTTTTCGGAGGGAGAGAAAAAAAAACAAGTCCCTGCTTTTTCTCATCTGAACACACGCACACCACCTACACGTTTTATATACGACACGAGCGAGATCAATTTTTTCGAAGGAATTTTCTCTTTCTCTCTCTCTCTCTTTCTCTCTTTTTCTATCTTTTCCCCTCTCTCTCTCTCTCTCTTTCTCTGTGTTGTACGGCTTGCTCGTCGATAAAGGAAAAAAAAAATACAAGAAAAGTCGAGCTTTCGTGATATTTGTACTTAACTGTTAAGCCCATTAATAAAAAAAAAAAAAAAAAAAAAAAAAACATACTGATGTGTTTTTAAGTAAAATAATCGAATTAACGCGATTATCAAAGCGTCGATGATAGCAATAACATTTTTTGGTAGATTATGGTGATGATGATGACGACGATGATGATGATGATGATGATGATGGATGTTTGATGTCGTTCGACTCGACGAGCAAGCGAATTAAATCGGCAATAATATTAAAATAAATCGCGCTTAGGTGAAAACGGGAAAATCGTCGATCGTTCTTCAATATTTTTCTTTTTTTTTTTTTTCATGAAATGTTGAAGGGGATTACGATAGAAAACACAAAGCGAATAGTAAGACATTTTTGAGTTAGTTCATATCCGTTAAAGAAGAAGACGATCGTGTGATATTTTCACGGGGTGATGAAACAGATTTCCAAAATGAAAAGATGAAAAAAAGATAAAAAAAAGAAAATAAGGTGCGATGAGACTACGTTGCGTTTGAAGAATTCGTCATAATATTTTCTCTATCTCTTTTTTCTTACTTCCTATCAATTTTTCATTCCTCGAAAAATAAACAAATTTCCTTCCTAGTTTTTTTCTCTATCTCACTATCCTTCAAATTCATATTCTGCTCCCTTTCCCACGACCACCAACACCACCACCAACACCACCACCGATGATCATATATATGTATTTTACATTGCGGATGTCTAAAGTAATTTATCATTAACGTAGCTTGTATTTTGATGAGCGCTAACCATCTACTAGTTGACTGTATGAATCATTAGGTGAAGCATGCTGGTTTCAATTATCTTCCATTTAATATCTTTATCTCTTTCTTACCTATCACGGATATATTTTTCATATACATATGTACATATTTACAATAGTATATTGCATAGATCAAATCACGTTTTTTTTTTTATTATTATTATCGATTTTGGAAGAATAAACAACAAACGAAAATCTTTTTTTTTTTAATTCTTGCAAGAAACATCAAAAATTCCAAATAATTATCAACGATACTAATTTATTTATGTATATATGTATACGAAATATGAATTCTGCTTCCTTCGAATTTTTTCTTCCATTGAAACGAGAAAGAGAGAAAGGAATTATCGAATTCCCTGTAACATTTTTTTCTTCCTCTTTTTTTTTTTTTTAAATAAATGGGAAGAACTAGGGGATCACCTAGCCCAGTTTATTTGGAAGATCTAGGAATGCTGATCTCCTTTGGCCAGATCCACTTTTACTTTATTTTTTATCTCTCTGTTTCTTTCTCTAATCTCAAAGAACGTCTTTCGTAATCTTCCCACGTATTTTCTTCTATTTCATTGGAGAATACGTTTGTGTAGCACCTCTCTCACTCTCTTTCTATTTCTATTTCTATGTCTATGTTTCTTCTTTTTTTTTCGCCTATGCTTTTTATTTTGTTGCGAGGAAGAAAGATGAATTATGTAAAGGACAAAAATAATTATAGAAAAAGAAAGAAGGGGTGAGGAAAAGGGTGAGGGGAAGGAGAGAGGGAAAGAGAGTAGTCGAATGCAAGGATAAGAAAATGCATTCTATATCTCTCTCTATCTCATTTCACTAAATTCCATTTGTTTTCCAAGCCATCCAACACTCCTAAGTATGTAAAAAAAAAAAAAAAACCAATATTCGAAGACTTTGTATTATTATTATTATTACTTATTGATTATGATTATTAATTAATTGCCATTACTATTCATCATTATTCTTATTATTAATATTACTTATTATTAATTATTCTTATTATATATTATTATTATTATTATTATTATTGTGCATCAGTATCGTTATTATTATTACTTATTATTCTTATTCTTATTATTATTATTATTAGTATCATTAATGTCATTATTATTAGTAAGCTACGAACACGCAAGACACTAATTCAACACACGCGATATACGGGCGCGTAAAATACACGTATGCTTGACGGATACATTTACACAAACGTACACGCATACAAACACATCATCATTTACATCTACAGACAAAATATAAGGTAGTATATAAAACTTGTAGGAGTGCGTGCGTGCTCGTAGTGTATATTCTTTCGTGACTACTATACTCTCTTTCTCTCTCTCTTTCTCTCTCTTTCTCTCTCTTTCTCTCTCTTTCTCACACACTCTCTGCCCTTTTTATTTTTCTTCGTGCCACTCGCATGTGCCATAGAAAACGCGACTTTTACCCTCATTCCCACCCCCACCTGGTCGTCATTTACTTATTCGTATCTTTGTATTCGACACACAGAGACACACATCACACTCGCGCACACTCACAGAGATACCAACTTATACGAGATTAATAGTAAAACTCGGAGAATTTTGTTCGTTAGGGTTGAGAATTCATGTCTTCCTCTCTCTCTCTCTCTCTCTCTCTCTCTCCCTCTCTCTTTTTTCTCGTACGCCACCCAGAGATCTATATAAAAGCCCTAAGAGCAACAGGAACCCCATACTCTTTTCATTTATTTAGTCGATTTTTACTTACACGTTGCTATAACACAACATCCCCGGAAAGATGAGAGAATAAAGGGCGGCAAAAGGGATGAGAAAGAAAAGTGTGTGTGTGTGTGCGCGCGCGCGAGAGCGTGCCGAGTGCTCGTTTTTCCTAGTCAAGGGGTGATGTACCAACCCCCGATCCACCCTCTATGCGTGTGCGTGTGTGCGTGAGATTAAGTCACGAGAAGGGAGGATGGTGGTTGATCGATGCTACTATTGCGACACTCTGTATATCCTTTATATTTGTCCTAAGGATTCACTATTAATAATAGTCGCGACTAAAATTTCATCTAAATCGTAATGTTGAATCATCTCTCTCTCTCTCTCTCTCTCTCTCTCTCTTTCTCTATCATCTATGAAATATTTTCTATTTTGTAACTATGACTTTTTGTATTACAAACGCGGCCTTTATTGTATGGGGTTTTTTTTTCACGTACTTATCTATTTTTCTTTTCTTTTCTTTCTTAATTAATTAGTTTAATTAATAATTGTACTTACTCTGAAAACATTCGTTGTGTAATTTAAATACGAACACTGTGTACTTACGTTTTGCACTAATCATTTTATTATTTGTGTTATAGTGAAACAAAACAAAAAAAGAAAAAAAAAAACCAAGAAATATGTTGCTTTTCTTTTCATCGTTTCAACGATTGCGAATTTATTATTATGATCATTCTGTTTGCTTTTGTTTAGCATTACAAATTACTTATATTTATTTTAATCGTTTAGCAATTGAACGATCAAGTTTTACATGGCACGCACGCATCTCTTAAACGCAATCATATTACACGTAACACACACACACACACACACACAGAGAAACACATACACGGAATATATACAGTTATATATTATTCATCCTACTCGCATTAATTCCGTTGTTTATTGAATCATATGCAAAAAAAAAAAAGAAAAGCGAGAGTTAACAAACACGTGACGAATAAAAGTACGAAACAACAAAACTTAAAAAAAAGAAGAAGAAGAAAAAAAAAGAAAATTAACATAAACGTATTAATTAGTTTAGATAAATGCTTAGAAAATTTGCCAATAAAGTAGTCGTTTAAAACTGGTAGCTAACCATCTTTGTGTATCTTCCCTTGTATATTCTTTGATGAATTTTCTCACCCTGCAATTTCTCCTAAACAACCCTCTCTTTTTTAACAACAATCCCTTATGCCTTTCACACCTATTTCCCGTTTTGTAATTCATTACTACTATTGTTATTATATTATTATACTTATTATAATTATTATTAGACTATTATCATTATTTATTACTCATTATTTATTACCTTGTAACTCGCCTAACCGTTCGGCAATTTATTAGTACTTACTTTGGTGCCTGTGCATTTTATTATTTGTTCACACACACGATGTTTCTATCTCTATCTCTTTCTCTTCCTATTTCTCTTTCTCTCTCTCTCTCTCTCTCTCTCACTCTCACTCTCACTCTCTATTTGTCTATTCTTCTATTCCCCAAAAATCAATCTTTTCCTAATTTTGAGTATTTATCTTTGTGTATTTATTGTCATAATAATCGTCATTCGTCACCGATCATATTCGTCGTCATCTTCCTCGATGTGTATTATCATCGTAAATCATCGTAGCAACCACACAATCATCGTCATCACCATCATCGTCATCGTCATCGTTATCGTTATCCGCGATCATCGCAAATCATCCGCCATTCGTCATTTTTGTTTGTTCGTTATTAAAAGGCAGCAGAGTAGCAGCAGCAGCAACAGCAACAGCAGCAACCATCGGTCCTGTTTGTATCCAGTAGCGGGCCGCGGGGCTCTCAGCTAATTGGCTAATTAATATTAAGCCGTAATTACCGTCGTTAACCCCGCTGGGCACTAGTTTCGCGTCGCCCTCTGGTTGGTCAAAATATTCCACGGATTGTCCTCGAGTTCATTTGCTCTCTCTCTCTCTCTCTCTTTCTCTCTTAGTCATATTCTCTCGTTTCATCTCTCTGAGTGAGGTGAAACAAAATCTGGCAATTTAGTAAAAACGAGACCACTAGATTTCAACCTGGAAATGACGAGCAACTAATTTCTCAAATTTAACCAAGTAGAGCAAGCAGCAGCAAGGAGAGAGAGAGAGAGAGAGAGAGTTAGTCCTTCAAACAAAAATATTCCAGATAAATGTTTTTTCTTTCTTCCCTCGATCCTGGGGATACGACCAAACAGATAGCGTCGTTCTGCGTATTTATTTCTAGTGTATAGATATATATATATATATTTGGTATATCACATTTAGAGATATCCTTTATTTAATATATTATTCCAAGTCCCTAAAATATCATTGACATTCCCTCTTGTTCTTCTCCCTTTTTGTTATCTTGCTTATCGAGCGGTTTCAAGATAGCCAGTGGATTTGTTGTAGCGGCGCATGCATCTTAGCCTAGACTGTACCCTGGCACATTCTAACCGGCAAGTAAGAGTACAAATAAAACGTAATTGATATTATATATATATATATTTACTCATTCTCCATTTTTCCTTATCTGGAGATCCTGTTTAATCCTTATTCAGAAAACTAATCATCTTTCTATCTTCCTCCTTCTTCATTTTCCTTGCAAACGCAGTGGTACATGTTGTATTTTTTTTTTTTTTTTTTATTAAGTATCATTTTTATTTTCCTTATACCTTGTTTGAAAATGATTGATTGCAAGAAGAGAACAAAATATGAAAGAAAACGAATTTTGTCTTGCCTTTGATATATTAACAAAAACAAATGATCTCAGCTGTGTTGTACATACATACATACATACATACATTAAAAAAATCATTAAATACATAAGAGTTACGTATGGATGATTACGGTATAAGCTAATATTAAAAACTTGATCGTCATGATTGAGAAGAAAATCAAATAATACACGCCAAAGGACAAAAAAATACTCCAACGAGTTTGATAGAGTTTTTCATTTTTTTTTTTTTTTTTTTTGTTGAAAGGTTCCTTCGTTTTTATCATCTTACAAATGAAAGAAAATAAACCAAGAGAAAAAATGCAATGAAAAATGAGAACAAGGTGGTGTAAGATGTGCACGTGTGGAAGGACTCTAGTAGTCCTTCATCTAGATGTTTTCATTCAGTAAAATATATATATATATATAATCGCGTTGGGATTATTATTAAAATACTTCGATCTCAGAGTACCAACAGGTATAGAGTTAATTAGATTGTTCAAGACTAGAAGTAGAATTAAATATTAGTCTTTTCTCATAGTAGTTCATTCTAGTTAGTCGGTATATTGAAATATTAATGTTATATTATTATTATTAATTATTACTATATATATATATATACACATATCAGAGTACTTGTAGAATTTGGAAGAAACAGAGAAAAGAAAAAACCTAATCGTAGTAGTTTTATTTTAAAACCAAAAAAAGACAAATTTGTTTATCGCGGTGTGTGCGTGTGTGATAATATTTCAAAATAGATCTCAAAGAATTTTCTATACTCGTACACCGCGAATTCAGATTATTGATTTATCATTTTGCCCTTGTACATTGTCAGTTCATCTAGTCATATTCGATCATTTAATTATGTGTTCATTCATTATTGGTAATACAGGGCATTTATCACTGGTGTAGCTTCGTTCGTTTCCTTCTCCAATGATTTCTTCAACAAATCCCATGGTGTTCAAACCTGCTTCTTTTTTCTCAACCTTTCTCTCTTTTCTCTTTCTTCTTTCTCTATCTATTTCTCTCTTTCTCTCTCTCTCTCTCTTTTTTCAACGTGCAAACGAATCTTCCTCAGTGAGTATCGGAATAAACCCGTGTGTGCCTTAAATCCAAAACACAGCAACAACCTTTTTACTACCTATCTTTTTCTCCCGTGATTATGAACTTAAAATCAAAGTAAAAAAAAAAAAAAAACCAAATAAAAAAGAAAAGAAAGAACAGAAAAGGAAGTCAAAGGAATTATCAAGGACAATTTTAGATTGCATATTATAATCCTATATAGGCAGTAGAGTTGTGTGTCGATCCAGTAGAGAATCCAACCAATCATCGATCATTGAGGGTTGTTCACTGGTGACCGGGCCGAAATGGACAACGATTTCAGGTAAGAAGACATTTTTTTCTATTCCTTTATCTCTTTACGTATATATTTCGCTGTT